CTTCAAGTGACAACAAGTCACAACAAAAGTTGTTTTAATTCTGGGTTTTGTGAGATATGGATTGTTGATGACAATAATAGGACCAACCCCTAAAGGACACATGGACACATTATCAAGAGGTGTGCTTCCATTTAAATCATGTACTTTTTGTCTCAAAGTCCAATCTAGATGGTTTTGTGGGAAAGCAAAATTTCATCCCTCGGACAAGAATCCATCAAATAAATGTCATCTCATGAGAATTGTTCGAAAACAGTTTAGGATCTATATCTTCCTACTCAATATAAAAGGAAGTAGAAGTTTGGTTGCGAGTCCAATCAACAAATTAATTTGGAAAGAGTATGCTAACTAATATTTGTTGGTTTCACCTTCTCCTTCTATTGAGTTCATAGTAGAGGAAGTGATAGGTAGTGTACTTCCTCCAAAGATTAAAGAGGGCCAAGTGCAGGTAGTAGTTTATTATCAAAGCCAGACCTTGATTACACTAATTGAGAAGTTTTATTTAGCCTTATAATTCTCTTTCACCAAGATATTACTTGCTTCTTATAGTAGCCTATCCTCTTTTACACTATATAACACAACTTAATCAAGCATGTAATAGCACATGCAGCCACCTGCATAAAGGGAAAGGTTGGCTTGTAGAAACCAATTCACTTTTATGAGGCAGCGGTTCTTTACTTCTATGGTTGCTCGTGTAATTTCCCTGCGCTATATAACTGCATCTGATCACTTAGACTTCAATTGAAATAGCATTTCAAAGCTATCTCCACTGACTGACACTGATCAGAACATTTCAAAGAGAAAATCCAAAATTTGGCCCTCTTTAAAACTGGTGGGGAAGGACGCATTGTTGGTAACAACATGCTTCTCAGTCTAGGACAGCCCTGTATTCTAAGACATGTCAGTCGTCAAAGGCTCTCCTAGAATCCATCGATCCCTTTGATTAGCCATTCTGGCAAGGCAAAAATCCTCCCTTTCCATTGAAGGGAAACTTGTTGAAGTTGACATTTGCATGAAAAGACCAAAATAGCTACTTGATAACTTGATGAAGAAGTACATTCATGTCCTCGAAGTGTTTTGCCAACAGCATTTTCCCTTCTAGAAAAGAAGCGGCAATATGAATCAATGAGACATCAAACTAGCAGTGAAACAAAGAATAACAGAAGAGAGTAACACAAAATCATTCATTAAACTTCGCCTACTAGCTTAAGTTTTCAAGTTGAGATGGTTTTTTTCATAGTTATCAAGGTCTAAATAACTAAGGACCATGTGTCAATTTCAAGATAAAAAGGATTTCACTTACAAACCCAAAAAGATGGGGGTGTTAGTGAACATATCTCACACTAAAAACATATAAGAGCATACCCACCTTGAATAAATATAAGAATATAAAGTAATATAAAAGATTGAGAATGGGTTATCCACCATGAGGTTTTAAGTCTTTTGGATGAACCTAAATTCAATTATTAAATTCTATATACTTGAGGGGGAACAAGAGAGTAATATAAAATCATTACTAGAACTTACTATTAGTTTTTGGATTGAGATAGTTTTTTGACAAGGATGATTGGATACTAGTAGGCATATGTTTTGAATCATATTTTTAACTTTGAGAGCTACCCTGTAGAGGTCAAAGCGTTTCATTTTTCAATTCTCATTTGACTTTGGCATGTTAGTTCAACAATGAGGTGAGCACCCACGAGATTCGGTTTCAACAGATTCTTTTTGGATAATAGGGGGCTCCTGCTTTCCTCGTGGACAGTGACTATGTAGTGTAAACTTTTGTTGTCCAGTTGCTGTTTGATTATTGATGTAATTATCTTTTTATGATATATTTACAAGCAAGTTATAGGATATTCACAGGGATGGTAATTAAACTCAAACCCGATGGATACCCACCTAATGATATTTATTGCCATCCCTTGATGTCCCGATCCTGCTAATTAATATATGGCCTATATGGTGATTCATTTTTACAGGATTAGCCATGATAAAATCTCTTCCGAGCAACAAATTCATATACTAAAATGTTCTCTAGTCATTTTTTTTCGTAGTAGTGAAATCCTATGTCAGAGCAGTACGGGCAATTATAGTTGTGTCATAAATTAATGAATAGAGAAATTTAGCTTGATGACATTGTGATCAAGAGTGTCTCTTTGATTGATTACTTTATTGGTTTCTTATAGAGTAACTATTCATTGTTTTGTTTGGCAGACTGGCTCCAACTATAAAGATCTCCAGCGTGAAAATACACAGCTTAAACATGATATTAATCTGTTAACAAAAAGAATCGACAATCCAGAAAACATGAATGTAATTCAGCTTCGAGCAAAAATTGAACAATTAGAAAATGAAAAGCATTCATTGCAAGTGATAATCGATGCTTTATGTGAGAAGATAAACAAGGACAAGGACTGGCTTGGACCTCAGGAACTAGCATCACAAGGTACTGTTTTAATGTTGTAGCTGGATATGTCAGGTTCGTGCAAAATTGCGGGATTCATTGCCTCGCAATTAAGTTTATTTTTATATTAGCTCTTTAGTCACCTTGTATTTGCTGCTACTTCTGATTTGATGACAGAAGAACATGTACAAATGAAGAGAAACTGCAGCATCCAAAAGTTTGAAGAGGGTGGGGGTCTCTCGCCATTGGCAGCTCAACAAGATTTATTTAACTGGGATTTGTGATTTCGGACCGTTGCAATTTAAGAGACTGAACAAAAGAAAAGAAAAGGATTGCCTGAAGAGCTAGCTAGTCAATGGAACCATTATCATTATTGATTTGCATATGCTTTGTTGTCAACTTATATTAATCTATTTCGATTCCAGTTGCAGAAATGTTAATTGTTGTTATGTCATGTTCGGACGAGCTGGTTGTCTCATATTTTTAGCTTTTACAGTCAATAAATTATGGTGTGAGGCTGTCAATTCCTACAATTAGTTGACTTCTCTTTGAATGGTCAACTTGGTTTTCCAAAACCTCACATGGTACACCCAATAAAATGATAGGGTCAAACGTTTACAGATCTGAAGATCCAGATGAGCAGAGGCATCTTTTCTGTGTAGAAAATATAGATATTACACCAATTCTCTAAAATAATGTTATACTTTTTTTAATTGTTTACACCAACACCTTTAAGATAAGAAAACAAATATTTATATGTCCACAAGTAAAGAATATCATGGAAAACAAGTTTAATTTACACATGATTTCCATTATTATTTTTCTCCAAATAAAAAATATTATAATATAACATGAACACATTTTTCAGTTATTCAAATTAGAAAATTGCTCTGATTTATTTTTAAAAAAACAATAATCTATATATTTTTTCATTAAAAAAAAGCTGAAAATGAAAAAAATTAGTTTTCTATTACTACACAAGTATTCTCTTTTCTCTAATTCAATCTGCTACTCATTGCAGATTATCTAGGTGAATCAAACTAAACTGAATGCTTGATTCAACAAAGGAGTATGACAAAGACCACGTGCGTGTGAGTGTGTTTGTGTCGAAGATTTGTAATAACATTTTTATTTATCACTTTTAACTAATATCCATCTCACTAAAACCATTTCTGGGATGGATCGATAATGTACTTAGTAGCCAAATTTTCTCTTCATAAATTTAATTTAATTTTTACTTTTAAGCAATATTTATATTTTATATTTCCAAATCGTTTTAAAAAATATTAGTATCAAAAATTTTTAAAAAATATTATTTAAATAAAAAATATTAGTATCAAAAATAAAAAATGCATGTGAAACACACCTGGAATGTGGAAGGATGGTGGGGAGCATTAAATTAATTTTTAACGAGACTCGATGGTCAGCTTTTATTAAAAGACTGGAGGGAACATAGTAAATGGAAAGCAGACTGCAAGAAAAGCAGAAAAAACAAAACACAGCGCGAAACCCAAGCTTGGGTCAGAACCGAACCAAGCATACAAGAAATGTTCAGCCTTCGATTTGTCAAATTAAAGGGTTAGCAATCCAATTGCCTTCCCTTCCCTTCTCGGATCAATACCTCGACAGAATTTGCCATTGCGTTCTTTAAGGTATTGCAGTGTGCAAACCCACCCACTGTGAGAGTAGTTTTAGGAAAAAAAAAGAGAGGATGCAATTAACATGCTATCCGATTCTTAGGGCAATTTCGAGCAGCAAGTTTATAGTCACGTAAGGGTCATCCTTTAAAGCCCAAGCATGCTTGATCTTTAATTATTTTCTCCAATTAATTATTCTTATTTTATAGTTGCATGGAAATAAATGAAACACTTCTTCTTCTTTTTTGCTTATAATTGATTTAGAAATCATGATAATTTAAAGTTTTTTGGAACTCTTTCTCAAACAAAAGAAATGGACGATTTTCCAACACCAAGCAATGTGATATTTTAATTTTCTTATAAAAAATCTCGGTCGGCAAGTCCTTTTGTGTCCACACAAAACTAAATTTGTCTCCTTACATCAAGTCTCCGTCAAAGTTCTTTCTCTGTCTTTTTTACACCCAATCAAGGCATCGCACCATGCAGGAATCACTTTCACATGTTCTTTTGATGATTTTTAATTATTATCAAACACCCACTAAATTCAGAGTTTCAAATATAAAATCTTAATATGAAAGTCACATTTTCTTAACGGATTTGCAATGCCTTTTCACGTCCTCACTCACTTGTATTCATTCAGAGTCCTGATTACACCATTGATTCTGTAAAAACAAAGAGAAGCATGTTCTTGATGCTCTTATAAAAGAGAAAATAAATTGATTATTAATTATTCGTGTGACCTTATAAAAAATAACCCTTAAAAAGTCTTTCAAGATATTAAGATATAAAATAATACATGTGTTTTCTCTACTGTACAAGCACTACTGTATTCTTGGATTCCCACACATACATCTCTTGTCATTGGACTTTAAATGAAAATCCAATTCTTAATGTTTAAGCTGTCCTATGAGATACCTAAATAGAGCATCTCGTCTTTCTATATTTCTAGCGCGCTTTCTTCGAAGGAAAGCATTATCGATCACTTCCCCACTGTACTATTTATTTATGTTGGGTCTGCACAGACAGTCTACCGGTGATTAACCAAGAGACCTGCAGATGGTAGTTCATATATCCAGCAAGCCTTCGAACATATATATTTATCTACAAGTAGTATATTTCCTGACAGATCTTCCTCTTGACTTCTAACTCTCTCTGCTACTCTTGCTTCTCCAATGTGCAGGAAGGCAAGGATGTATTTCTCCGGTACTGCAAGATCCTCTTTACCACAGCTAGAACATGTGTGAGCTCTAAACGTCCTCGGAGATGGATCGAGCTACTGGGGGTGAGAGAAACCTCAGCTGGGACAACAAGATGCGAAGGAAGAAACAAAACCTGCAGGTCCAGTATGTGGTTTGAGAAAACGGACAGTACCAGATGCCCAAATTGCGAAAAGCAGCCCTTTCCTGTCTGGTGATATGCACAGGGAAAGGAAGTTTGATACTCCATTTGAGAGGTACAACTCTAATCTGACAAATTATAGAGGTAGCCTTATATATCCTCTATAGGTGCTAATTAACCATGTCATTTCCAGGACAATATTCTTTGATTGACTGATCTTAGGAGTAATTAGATGTAGCTTTCTCTTTTATGTTTAATTTTCTCAACTCTCATTGGACTACCGTTGCAAAATTCCCTCGGTTAGCTTACTTTGATTTTAGATCCAAGAGTGACGGTACTGTGGGTAATCTGCAGATTGTCCTCCCTGAAGTTTGGAGGTTGTCTTCATAAGCAAAGTATTTATCGAAGTCGTTTTAAACTCAATTATCAGTGTTTCTTTTTTACTAAACAGTCATCTATCGGCTATTTCTCTGAGGTTGATAACAATTTCTCCTCCTCGAGTTTAAGGTTATTAATTGAGGTGGTTTTACTCATAATTAGGGGTTAATTAGGGGTGTTTACGGTTTGGTTCACTTCGGTTCAGTTTAGATTTAAAAAACTAACCAAACTAAATTGCATTAATTTTATAAAATATTAACCGATTGAAAATCAATTTGATTAAATCCTTTTTTTTTTGGCAAAAAACCAGGAAACCTAAAGCTGAACCCTGACCCATCAACCCAAAACTCCACCTGGACATTTAGTTCTCTCATCCAAATCTTAGCTACCGAATCTGAATCCATCATCGAAATCTGCAAGTAAGACCTAGAAGAATTCAAATTCGGCTTAAAAAATGAATCCGTCATTATCCGTTGTTTCACGTGCTGTCCATGATCTCTCCGTTTTCTTCAAGGCCAACGTTGCCATCGCTCAGGAGTATATTAATGGGTGATGGGCTCGTTTGGGGAAACCTGACTGGATTTTCACTTTTGCTCCTATGAAAATGAACAGGTATTGTTGGGTTTCTTGAATCAGAAGCACAATTCAAATGTTTGCGATCCTTGAAACCGAGAAAACATCTAAACCAAACCTCTCTATATAGATACCTGATATATCCACTAACAAGTTGAACCAAGTGGAGGAGGCCAGGGCTTTCCTTGTTAAACATTGAAACACAGGTGACAATGCAATTGAAAATTAAAAGGAAACTAGAAAATAAAGATTAGAAATATATCTGAATAAGGAGGCGGCTTTATGTGAGAGGTAAGAAAGTTATATTAATTATTAGGGTTAGCCGGTTAGATTGAAAATTAACTATTTATATTATAAACTTTTGTCAATTGTTTAGTGGGTTCAGTTTGATTTGGTCTGATTTCTTATTCAAATCAAAATTGAATCGAATCTTTTAAAATTTATGATTTTAAAAATTAGTTTAATTGATTTTTTATTTTGATTTGATTTTTTTAGTTAATTTTCTTTGATTTTCTTTTGTTAATCAATTATTTTGAACCCCTACTCATAATCCATAAATTATTAATCCCACTTGTATTTATTATAAGTTTTATTTATGTACTAGTTTACCTTTTATCTTAGTATAACCACGAAATATCTTATTTCGGCGTAATTAATGGAAACATTAACATTTAAAGTTATTTAAAGAAAAATAAAATTCATAAAAAATGAATTTGCTAAAATTTTTATAATTCTATTATATTTTTTTCAAAATAAATATTTTATTGATGGCATGTATATTTAGAAACATCAACAAAATTCTTTAACAAAAAAAATGCAGTACTAACAATTTTTCTTTTCAAACGGAAAATTAAATTTGATGATAGATAATGCTAGAAAAAAGATAAAATTTAATTATCGTAATTAAAAAATAAAATAATTTTTAATTTTTAGCTATATGTTCTAGATATAATGGAAACTTTTAAAAAAAATTATTTGTGAAAAATTTAATTATCATCAATTGAGGAAAATATAATTATGGATATATATTTTATTATATTTAAGTAATAAAAGTAGTATCTTGAGTGAAATTAACCATTGAGGTTTCAAGTCATTTTTAATTAATTCCTTAAAATTTAACATGGTTCGGTGCTTAACATGAAAAATATGTCTTTAATTATATGGTAAGAAATTTCTTTAACTAAACCATTTTGAAATGTTCTATTTTCTTGGGCCTATATCTCTTTTTAAAAAAAGCCCATCAAAGTTTTAGAAGCTAAGCCTAGGAAAGTTAGGTCCAAGAATATGGCAAAACTTCCGTCTTCAGTTATCAGAATTATGCGGTTTAATATGTTTTTCATTTAAAGTAAATAATTTTGATATGTTAATATATATATATATATATATATATTAAAAATTATTTTTATATTTAAAAATTATTTTTATAAAAGTAACTTGCATCGTATTATATATGTTTGTGCAATTTTTAAATAGATATCTAAAATAGTTTATATAGTTTTTTTCTTTCTAAAATTACCTTGTCAAACTTTGTTTGATAAACATAAGATAATTTATTTTTATAGTTTATGTATTTTATTTAGTATAATTTAGTCATAAAAACAAAATCATTTACACCTCTACCTCCTCCAATAAAGGTAGATATAATGGATTAAAAATTAACTAGATGACTGCATGAAAACAAAGACAGACTTAAAAGGCACACTCCAATTTCTTTGAATTTGAATTAGAGTATTTCTGAAATATTTTTGTGTTTATTTTTTAAAGTGTTTTTTTACTTGAAAATATATTAAAATATTTTTTTTAAAAAATAATTATTTTTGATACTAATATATCAAAATAATTTAAAAACACTAAAAAATATTAATTTAAAAAATATTTTTTTTTTTTAAAAACCACCTTTAAAGTATAAAAAATAAAAAAATTAAAATTTTTAAAACCACCTTTAAAATAAAAAAACAAATAAAACAGGACTGAATCAATCTTATCTTTAATCATGCGACGGATTTTAACAACCCATTTCCTTTCAAATAAATCCTATAACTAGATAAAGTCGTATATAGCATTACAGTTCAATCGTGTTTTTTTTTTTTAATTTAAATTAATATTTTTTATTATTTTAATATATTAACATTAAAATTTTAAAAATATTATTTTAATTTATTTTAATATAAAAAACATTAAAAAACCAATATCTATCAGAATCATAAACGAGACTTGAAATGGGCCTGTTCTTGAACCTCTTGTAGAGCCCAGTCATCTACTCTTTTTCTGGGTCCAGTTGGATTGCCGATCCAAAGGGGGCAATGCAATCATCTAATCGCGACTCAATGTCTGTCTAGCTTCTAGATTATTCCAAAGGGGGCAATGCACGTCGGATCCAAAGGGGGCAATGCACGTCGGATTCAAAGAAAACTGGTAATAACCTTCTCGAAGAGCCTTACTTGACGTCCTTTCTTTGTCTTTTTATGAAAAATAATCCTTTTCAGCTAACATCTCTTATATTTATTTATTAAGAAAAAAACCTACAAGTGATGAGACATCTCTTGTGGGCTCTGAGGCAGACCACCTTAGATTCTTATAATCATTTCTTTTTCCCACCCTCATTTCTCTCTGATTTTTTTTTTTTACTTGATGCTTTAATATTACTTTAATTTGAGATTGATTTTAATGATTTGTCTTTTATGCTCCCGTGTAAGGATTTTATGATGCATAGAAAATATTCAGTCTTTTATTTTTATATTTAACTTGGTAAGATAAAATTTAATTTTATTAATTTAAAAAAAAACTAGAGTTTTGAGAACTGAATTTAAAGTTTAAAAAATTATTATTATTATTATTATTATTGCTAGAATCATGGACTGATTTTCATGGTCATGGATGGGGTTCAAGTCCCTTTTGTATTTCTAGCTACTCAATGTTTTTTTTTTAAATTAATCCAATTTTATTTTTCATCTTAATTTAGGCTGTTTATTTAATGTTTATTTTTTTATATATACAGATCTTAATTTAGGCTGTTTATTTAATGTTTTTTTTATATATACAATATTTATGATTTTCAAGCATCTTATAATCTAAATTTGTTTTGATTTTTTAGGGAATTTAATATTAAGTACAATTTTCCCGTTTTCATCCCTTGCAATTAATTTTTTCCCTCTTATTACTTACAGTTTCTTCGATTTATATGACATATGTTCAACAATTAAGATTTTGGTTTTAAATTCTGGTATTTTAAATTAAATTAAGAAATATTTGAAAGCCGACTTAACAAGCCTAAAACAATTGCGAAAAACAATATTACAAATATGCTTAAACACATGTAAAATAAATTGCAAACTTATAATTAACAAAATAATATAATATAATATAAAAAAACATTATAAATATCTTATTTTTACAGCAACTCAAAATTGTGACGCATGATATCTTTAAAATTTCGTGTTTATGAATCTTGTCTCGCGCAGACCATATTATATCACATATTTTTTTAAACTGTGTTCTTTTTAATTATTAATGCTATTTTTGTTTTTTTTGTTTTAAGGTTAAAATCACACCTATTTCTCAAGTCAACAAAGGCGGCTCTGCAGGGAACTCAAATTAATATTTCTATTTTGGAGCTAAAACACAACCACCGGTAATATTAACAAAAAAAAAAAAAAACTGTTCATTTCTTCGCTGCGAGCTGTCAGTGTGTTGACAAGAGGGATTACGATAATGTTGATAAATAATTTTTATAGTTTTTAAAAATTATTTTTAATATTAATATATTAAAAAATATAAATAATTTTTTAAAAATATTAATTTTATATTAATATATTAAAAAATATAAATAATTAATTATAAATAATTTTTTAAAAATATTAATTTAAAAAAATACAGTTTTGCATCATTTTTATAACTATGATGAACTTGTTTTTATAATTACGATGAACTTGTTTGGAAGTGTAATTATAATTATTTTTTAAATAATTTTTTATTTAAAATATGTGTTAATAATTTTTTATTTTTTAAAAAATTATTTTTAATATTAATATAATAAAATGATTAAAAACATTATAAATATATTAATTTAAAATTAATA